CGCCAGCCTGCGTGGCATGGCAGAGAAGGGGGGCCAGGTGTGCAGCGTCGCCAGGGGCGCCCACGCGGGGCACCCTCCTGGCCGTGCCCCCCCCGAACGGGGGGAATCCACCGAAGCTATTCCCTGGCGGCCTCGAGAAGGCCCGCAGCGGCTACGGAACGCGCAGCAGGCACCCGTGTTGGAAGCCCGCCGAGCCGCAAAACGAACGGCCCGCCTTGCCATGCGCCCGCGCCGCGCAGGGCATCATGTGTGCCCGTGCGCATCCAGCTTGCGCCTGAACTCAGCGCGGAGCTCGGCCTCGCGGCTGGGGTCCTAGTCCGCACAGCGCTGCATCAGCGCGATCGCCGCCGCCAGAAGCTGGTCGACCTTCTCCTCGAACGGCCCCGGCACCGAGGAAGGCCCCTCCGCAGCGCTGATTGCGCCACCAGGACGGACAGGCCCCGCCGCTTCCACCACGCCGCGGCCACGGCGGATCGGGAGTGCGTCAGCCCACTCATCGACCGGGTGCTCCTCGTCCTCCACCTTCCACACAGCGGGAACAGCCTCAGCAGCGTCGGGAATGGCAGGAGCGGGGCCAAGCTGCTGGCGGCGCCTCCGCCGCCGCCGCCCTGGGCCGTTACCGCCGCCCGCCACCATCCCGGTGTCTGCAGCCTCCGCGCCGCCATCCAGTGGGGGCTCCGTCGCCGCAGCCTCGCCGCGGCCCGCTGGGCACCAGTCGGTCGTCTGCGACTGGGACAAGTGTAGATGGGTAGGACGATCGCGCGGAATCCCAGATGACGGCATGTGAGTATGTACTTGGTCCCCCTTCCAAGCACATCCTGCAGGACTCATGGGCACCAACACCATTCCCCTCCCCATCTCCCGGGGGTCCCCCGCGGTGGGGACTGTCAGGCCCCACCCCTTCACTTCCGCTTGCCACTTTGGGCGCAAGTGTTAGCTGGAACCCCCTTCGTTCCAAATACCAATTTTGCCGCCTCCGGCACCGCAAGGGGCTCGCGGCACCCTCAGACGGCTCCCCGGCCAACGGAGACCGTACCTGCACACACGTCCAGTGCCACCTGCCCGAATGTTCGTTCCCTTCATGGCGACCTTCCGCCCCACCCCCGAATGCGGGCAATACTTACATCCATATCCAGAGCGTCTTCGACTTTTTAGGAAGAGGTGCCGCAACGCCGAGGCGCACTGGATATGGATAAAACCAAGCCTCTTGGGGCCAGATTGTTATCCATATCCAGTGCGTCTACGGTTTCTGGGGAAGAGAGTCCAAGACTCCAAGACGCACTGGATGTGGGTATAACTATTGCCCGCACCGAAAGCCGCACAGCGAAGGTCGCCCGTGCGAAGGGCCACTCTTTGCGCACGGTCGGGAGCATCTGCGCAGTGCGTCGCGGCGTCGGCCCCGGCGACGCGCTGTGCCGCTGTGCCTTGCAACCCGATTGCGTGTCGCTCCACTCCGCGGGGTGACAGACAGACAGACAGAAGCCATACGCCCAAGGCGCGTCGGCAAACGCACATTCATACACTGCACACACACACACACCGCTCTCTCAATCTATGTCTCCAAACAAGAGGATCTTGAACAAGATCTTGCAATCTGTCTCCTTCCCCGCATGCCCGGTGTCCGCATGCTCGGCAAGGCTCGGGACACTTGCGGCTTGGAAGTGGGGGCGCGGATCGCATGCCGCGCCCAAGCGTCGTGGGCTTGAGCTGGCGGGGCGATGTGTTCTTGTTTGCCTGCGGCCGCGTGACTCGAGCAGACGGAGGGGCGCTTCCGAGGCAAACTGAAACACTGAGGCAGGCGCGGCTGGAGGAGGAGAAGGCGCGGCGGAAGGGGGGCCACGCTCAGAACATGCAGTCCTGGTGCGCGAGTGCCGGCGGCGTGCGCGGCGACAGGCGGAGGGACACGCTATGCATACGTTCCCGACCGTACATCCGACTCTCCCTCCTCTGGCTTTCGGGGGGGCCTGTGCTCAGGGAGGCTGCAGCACGGCTCGACGATGTGCTGTCAACCAAACCTTCAGGGTGGGCCCTTTCCATTTCTCTTGTGCACTTCAGCTTTGGCCTCGGCTTCAGCTGCCGATGCACCGTGAAGCGCCTTCGGGCCAGCTCGCCCGAGTCGGATTCTCCGCTCGCACGGATGCTCCCCTCCCCTCTCGGGCTTTCGGGCCCTGTCTCGGGCCCCTGGCTGCCGCTCGGGAAGGTTCGGGCACCCCACCGCCATCCGCCCAAGTCTGGTTTGAACGCCTGAAACGGGTACGGACAAAGATGAATACAATGCCTGACAGCAAATGACATCCCAAACCGACAGCGGCCGCTGTTGGACAGGCGGTTTCCTGTCTTCGGTGAACAACATTCGCGGCGGCGCGGACAGCTGCTTAAAATTATCCAGGCGAAAGGACCCCCCAACCATATGAAGTTGTGGGTACCGCAATTACGAATATCTTCTTCGGTGAAGCTCCCTATGGGGCCACGACGCGCTGCGCTGGGCGGGGGGGGGGACGCATGCGGGCGGTAGCACTGGGGCCGTCGGTGAAGCTCCCTATGCGGCCACGAAACGCTGCACTCGGTGGGTGAAAATACCAAATTCAGCGTGTGGGACGCACGCGGGCGGTCCCAGTGGGGGCTTCGGTGGAGCTTCCCATGGGGCCGCGAAGCGTTGTAAAGGGTGGGTGGGAATGCAGGATTAGGTGGGGGACGCATGCGGGCGGCCCCATTGGAGGCTTCGGTGGGACTTCCTATGGGGCCTCGAAGCGCTGTACTGGGTCAGTGAAAACTGCCAAATTGAGTGTGGGGGACGCACGCGGGCGGTCCCACTGGGGCTCCGGTGGAGCCCCCCATGGGGCCACGAAGCGCTGTACTGGGTGGGTGAAAATGCCAAAGTGGGTGTGGGGGACGCACGCGGGCGGTCCCATTGGGGGTTTCGGTGGAGCTCCCTATGGGGGCCACGAAGGGCTGTACTGGGTGAGCGAAAATTCCAAATTGGGTATGGGGGACGCATGCGGGCGGTCCCACTGGGGGCTTCGGTGGGGCTCCCTTTTGGGCCACGAAGCGCTGTACTGGGTGGGTTAGAGTGCCGAATTGGGTATGGGGGACGCATGTGGGCAGTACCGCTGGGCGCTTCGGTGGAGCTCCCTATGGGGTCACGAAGCGCTGTACTGGGTGGGTGAAAATGCCAAATGAGGCGTGGGACGCATGCGGGCGGTCCCACTGGGGCCTTCGGTGGAGCTCCCTATGGGGCCACGAAGCGCCGTACTGGGTGGGTGAGAATGCCAAATTGGGTGCGGGGGGGGCGCATGCAGGCGGTCCAACTGGGGGCTTCGGTGGAGCTCCCTATGGGGCCACGAAGTGCTGTACTGAGTAAGTGAAAGTGCCAAATTGGGTGTGGGGGACGCATGCGGGCGGTCCCACTTGGGGCTTCCGTGGGGCTCCCTTTTGGGCCACGAAGCACTGTACCGGGTCAGCGAAAATGCGACATTGGGCGTGGGGGGCGCATTCGGGCGGTCCCACTGGGGGCTTCGGTGGAGCTCCCTATGGGGCCACGAACGGCTGTAGTGGGTGGGTGAAAATGCCAAATTGGGCGTGGGGGACGCATGCGGGCGGTACCACTGGACGCTTCGGTGGAGCTCCCTGTGGGGCCACGAAGCGCTGTACTGGGTGGGTGAGAATGCCGACCTGGGTGTGGAGGACGCATGCGGGCGGTCCCACTGGGGGCTTCGGTGGAGCTCCCTATGGGGCCACGAGACGCTGTGCTGGGTGGGTGAAGCGCATGGAAGAACGAGGAGGAGGGGAGGAGGAGGAGGAGGAGGAGGAGGAAGAGGAGGAGGAGGAGAAGAGGAAAGGAACGCGGGGACCGTTTTTTTCAAAACGAGGACCCAACACCACAGGATGTTGGGAATGAACAGGAACTACTGTTGGGCACCGAGGAGAAGGAGGAGGAGGAGGAGGAGGAGGAGCAGCAGGAGCAGGAGGAGGAGGAGGAGGAGGTACCCGTTTTCTCCGTGCCCTTTTCGATCGTCCCGATCTGAGCGCCCCTGGGGCGCTCAGACCTGAGCGGGCGCCCTGGCCCAGGCGGCCGCCGCCGCGCCGAGGCGGCGCGGATCTACAGTCACGTCGGGCGTGTCCCTCTACAGGAGGAATGTTCAAAAATAGTCAAACAATACTCGGAGGAAGATTTGTCGATGATTTTTGACAAATTTTGATTTTTTGGGGGTCAGGTCTGATTCTTCGTCGACGGTCCCCCTGTAGGAGGACACGCCCGACCCAAATCTACGGCCGCCCCCGCGGCGCTGGGCCAGGCCCCTATGGGGGACGTCGGCCGAGGGCCGCTGGCCTCCCTAGATAGGCTGGCGCGACCCCGAGACCCTGGAGTCTCAAAGGTGCTCGAGCTCGGCGTGATCGCTCAAGTTCGGCGTCGGGCTCGGGCCCCAGTGCCTTTGTAGAGGCATCTGGCTCGAAAAATGGGGCAGAAAGATTGGGTCTAAGGCTCCGGTCGTGATTCGTCATGCTGCTACAAGTGTCTCGCGTCGCCAGATCTTAGGAAGGGCCTAGGGGGGGGAGGGGGGCCCTGAGGTAAGAGTGGGCATTGGAAATTTTCCGCGCCGTCTTCGAAACCCCTACCCAGCCCTCCACGGGCCCCGGGGCCCGCAAAACCCGTCTTGGAAGGAGATCCCTGGGTCTCTCCCTGGGTCCCGGGGGGGCGACCCCATGTCCAGGACCCGTTCCCCTCAGGCCCCCTCTGCTGCTTCCTGTCGAATCCTTGCTGGATGCCCTCCCCCAAGCCTCCCCGGACCGGCGCGGCCGCGAGGGGGCGACGAAGTCCGCGAGGGCGAGGAGGGCAAGGCCGATGACGACGCGGTGGGGGGGGCGGCGGCGGCGGCGGCAACGACGACCGCGACGACGAGGGCAACGAGGAGGGCAGCGGCGAAGACGACAGCCACGAGCTCGAGGACGACGGGGCCGACGGCAGCTGTTGGCGCGGGCTAGGCGGCGGCGCGAGTCGCCGCCGCCCGGAACGAGCGCGACTGCAGCACGAGGCAGCGCTTGACTTGGTGCGCGTAGGTCGAGACGGTCGCCTGCGCAGGGGCCAGGGCGTCGTTCGCCGTGATCGTCACCGTTGTGGTCGTGGTGGCGGTAATGGTGGTGGCTGTCGTCTGTCGACGATCTCGACGTCGTCGTTCTTTCCCTCCCCCCCCTCTTCCCTCCCTCCTCGCCTCCCCCCAGCCTCCCCCCCCGCCTTCCCTCGCCTTCCCACCGCCTCCCCTCTTCTACCCCTTATCCCCGCCTCTTCCCCCCTCCTCTCTTCCCTCGCCTCTTCCTCGAACGGGTTCTGTCTCCCTGCCTGCTGCCCCACTCCTGAATCCCAGGGAGGAACGAACAGGGAAGAAGGATATATACTTCTGGGGAGTTCTAAGCTAAGGAAGCACAAGGAAGAGGAGGAGGAGGAGGAGGAGGAGGAGAAGGAGGAGGAGGAGGAGGACGATGAGGAGGAGGAAGAGCAGGAGGAGCAGGAGGAGGAAGAGGAGGAAGAAGACGAGAAGAAAGAGGCAGGCGGAGGCAGGCGGAGGCGGAGGCAAGAAGGAGCTGGGAGGCCTCCCTTCGCCCCTCCTTCCCATCATTCCCCGCCTTGCCCTCCCTCCGCCCACCCTGCCTCGTCCCAGGGCGCACCCTCTCTTTCGCCTGCCGAGGCACGGGGCCGCGGCAGGATGCGCCCAGGCGCACCAGCAGCCTGACACCGGGTGAGCACAAGCAGGCGGGAAAGCAGCAGCAGCAGCAGCAGCAGCAGCAGCAGCAGCAGCAGCAGCAGCCAGGCACGGGAAGGTGCAGCCTATCACTGCGCCTCCTCCTTCTGCTCGTGCTGCAGACACGAATGCAGAATTCATAGAACTTCGGACGCTGCTGAGTCGAGAAGCTCTGAGAGAGCCGGCGGGTCTGGTGGCTGTGTGTCGGCGGCCGCGGCCGCCTCCTCAGTGAGCTCCGGAACGCTCCGGGAGCGCTCTAGAGAACGCTATGAGAAGCGGCCCCTCTTCAGTCTGGGCCTGCCTCGCCTTCCACCGCCCCCCCCCCAATCAGTGTCCAGCACCCCATCAAACCTCCCACTCCTCGTCCTCCTCCTCCTCCTCCTTCTCCTCCTCCTCCTCCTCCTCCTCCTCCTCCTCCTCCTCCCTCCCCTCTTTTCCGGCCATCGATCCCTCCCAGTCTCCATCCCTCTGCTCTCCCCTCCGCCCTCCCTCCCCGCTCTGGGTGCGAGCACCCGCCTGGGAGCCCGCCCCGGACGAGTGCACTTCCCGGGCCGGCTCCCGCCACGCAGTGGCCGCCGCACGGGCCGAGCGCACGCCTGGTTCTTGCCCGAGCGCCCACCTGCACTGACACCGACACGCCCCTCTTCATCCTCATCCCCTCGCCCTCCTCCTGATCCTCTTGACAGTCCTGACCTCGACGTCCTCATTCTCGTCCCCCTCGGTCCTCCATCTAATCCCCCTCCTCCTTGGGCAGTCCCTCTGCACCGCTGCGTGTGCTGATCCCTGTGCTGGGCCCCAGCCTACGCGCTCGCACTTCAGCCGCCACCCTTCCAGCAATGGCCATGACACTGTGGCATAGACTGTAGACCGCACTTCGCACGCGTGCCTGACAGAGAGTCGATACCACCCGTGTACCAACTGCAGGCACCTTCCACTAGAGGCTGTCGCAAGACCTTCAAGACACCTGCATCATCCAGGGGCCAATCCCTGCACGCAAGATGAATAAGACTGTCGCGATCACAAGAACCGAATGCCGTAGCTCTGATACCACGTATCGGAAATGGCACCCCATGGCATTTCTGTGCATGCTCCCGACATGCGCGCCAGCGAACTGCCAAAATCCAACACGGGCACCACGTGTTCACTGTTGGGAGAATCACAGTGGAGCACTTCGAGCAGCTCGCCTGAGAAACCTTTCCCTCCATGAACTTCGCGAAGCCCACGGTCGCAGCCGAGATGCTGGCCTGCACGGAAGACACCGCCCGGCAATGGAACGTCCATTTGGTCTATGTATTCCTATTCCTCTCACTCTCGCGCCGTTCTTCCCCTCTCCTGCTGTCAACCGTTGCATATCCTCACATCGGCCGCTCTCATTTGTTCTTCTCTGATCACCCTCACCTCGCGTATCTATATGTGTAGATACATATATATGTATACATATACATATGTGAATGTGCAATGCACCCCAGCACCTGTTAATGTTGCATTGTGCCTCGGCCTTTGAACTCTTCTTTCGTGCTCTTACTCATCATCCACCTTCTTTTCATCCGTGCCTGCTCCTCCATCCTTTCGATTCGTCATTTCTCGTGCTGATTTCTCGCGCTGAGGCCTAGCTGGAATCAACTGGATCTGGGACCTGCTCCAGTCTTACGAGATTCTAACTGGATTCCAACGAGAATCCGTTCGGATTCCAATTCGCTTCGAACGAGATTCCAGTCGGAATCGAATGGAGCCAACCAGATTCGGGATCTGCTCAAGTCCAATGATATTCTAGTCGGCTTCAATCGGAATCCAACTGGAGCCAATTGGATCTGGGATCTGCCCAATTCGAATTCGATGTGGCTCGATCCCAGTAGGAACCCAAGCTGAGTCAACTCTATCTGGGATCTGCTCCATCCTAATACGATTCGATTCGAGTGGGAATCTAGTTGGAATAAGCCGGATATGGGATATGAGCAATTCCATTTAGATGATCACGGTACCCCAATATGAAATTACTTGGAGTCAGCTGGATCGGTGACCTGCTCAACTTTGATTTCACTTCCATTCGAGCAAGATTCCAACGGTGATCCAGTAGGGTTCAGCTGGATCTGGGATGCGTCCAGTCAAATTGGTCTCTAACTCGATGCCAGTGGAAATCCAATTGAAATCGGCTGGATATGGGATCTGCGCCACTCCCAGAATAGTATCAGCTGGATATGGGGTCTCCTCCATTGAAGCAGGATCTAATATAACTGCAATTTCAATCGGCTGGACCTGGGACCTGCTCTATTGCAATTCGATTCGAATTCGATCCCAATCGGAATCAAATTGGAATCAGCTGGATATGGGATCTGCTCCATTACGATCAGATTCGAATCAGGTGCCACTATGAATCAGACTGGAATCTGCTCAATTATTCTCTTGCACAAGGTGTCTAGAACTCCGATCACTTTATTCCGCGTCGCACCCCCCCCCATCCCCCCGCGTCCCCAGCGCCAGAGTGGGACCCCCACGCCGTGGCTTCTCTGCCCCGAGTCCCCCCGCGTCCCCAGCGCCCCAGCGGGAGCCCCGCCCACTGCCCCCTGCGCCAACAACGTTTTATTCCGCGTCGCACCCCCCCCCCGCGTCCCCAACGCAAGAGTGGGACCCCCGCGCCGTGGCTTCTCTGCCCCGAGCCCCCCCGCGTTCCCAGCGCCCCAGTGGGACCTCCGCCCCCTGCCCTCTCCGCCGCACCCCCCCCCCCGCGTCCCCAACGCAAGAGTGGGACCCCCGCGCCGTGGCTCTCTGGCCCCGAGCCCCCCCCCGCCCCACCCCCAATCTCAGCGCCCCAGCGGGAGCCCCGCCCACTGCCCTCTCCGCCGCGAACGCTTTATTCCGCGTCGCACCCCCCCCGCCCCCCCCGCGTCCCCAACGCAAGAGTGGGACCCCCGCGCCGTGGCTTCTCGGCCCCGAGCCCCCCGCGTCCCCAGCGCCCCAGCGGGAGCCCCGCCCACTGCCCCCTCCACCACGAACGCTTTATTCCGCGCAGCGACGCACACCACCTCCCCCACCTCCCTCCCCGCGTCCCCAGCGCCCCAGTGGGGGCTCCGCCCCGTGCCCCCTCCGCCCCGACAAGTTTATTCCGCGTCGCGACGCACACCACCTCCCCCCCTCCCCCCCCGGTTGGACCCCCGCCCAGTGGCCCTGCCCCACGCCCCGCCCAATGCCCCCTCCGTTCCGACCATTTTATCCCGCGTCGCGCGCACACCACCTCCCCCCCATCCTCTCCGCGTCCCCAACGCCCCAAAGGGACCTCCGCCCCGCGCCCCCTCCGCCCCGACAATTTTATTCCGCGTCGCGACGCACACCACCTCCCCCCCTCCTCCCCACCTGGGATTTAGGCCCCGTCGCTGGGCCCCGAGGGGCGATGTCTTGCCCCCTCTTCCCCCCTCCTCCTCCGACTCCTCCTCCTCCCCCTTCCCTTTTGTGCAAGAGCCATGGTACACGTGCCACTTGCATTTGGAGTCTGATTCGATCACAATGAGAATCCAACTGTAACCAGCTGGAGAAATCATCCGCGTCACCCCACTCGGATTGTACACATATGCCGATCGGAATTCACTTGGAACTACCTGGATGTGGGATCTGCCCAATTCAAATTGCTGTCTCACTGGATTATAATATGAGTACGAGTGGGATCAATTGGATTTGGGATCTGCACCATGTCAATTAGATCCTAAGTTGGTTCCCGTAGGAATCCAATCTGAATCAGCTGGATCTGGGATTTGTTCAATTATGATTCGATTCTCCCATTCAGAATCTAACTGGACTCAGCTCAACATGTGATCTGGTCCACCCCATTTTGATCCCACTTGCATTCCACTAGGAAGCTAAGTGGAATCAGTTGGATCTGGAATCTGCTCAATTCCAATGGGATTCTCGTGGGGTGAGGGACGGATCCCAGGCACCCAAGCAATCCCTGTGAAAGCGCAGGGGTTCGCGACGCCAGGGGTGCCTAAACCTTGTCTTTTCAGTTGACTGTTTGGGATTTCTCCGACGAGAAGTGAAGAGCCAGCGTGTTTTCATTGGGATAATTTGTTATTTTGGATTCCCACTCCCCAGCAAAAAACACCCAGGAGCCCCCGAAGATTCAGCGCCCCAGAAATCAAAAACTAGCAACATCCAAATGAACCCACATGTTTGATCACTTCTCATCCCAGAGTTCCCAAACATCCAACTGGAACCCGAGATTTCCGCACCCCTGACATGGCAAGTCTCGCGTTTTCATGCGCGGGGATCGGAGCCCGCACCTTGGGAAGCCGACCAGCGAGAGAGGTGAAAGAGAGAGAGAGAGAGAGAGAGAATAGAGAGAAAGAGAAAGAGAGAGAGAGAGAGAGAAGGGAGAGGGAGAGGGGAAGCAACAAAAAAACAGAGACATGTAGAGAGACGATGAGGAGGAGGAGGAGGAAGGGAAGAACACCACCGTCGTAAGTGGATGCTGGTAAAACCGGATGCTGCGGGGGTTTCACACACACGATTTGAGGATCGTATACGCACCCGCTACATCCAACAAACAAGTACAACATGTAACACATAACACTTGCATGTTTCCCCCTTCCCGTTCTTTCGCGATTTCTGCACGGCCGTGATACTGGCGCGGCCCTCCAGATGCCCGAGCGCGTTTGGCGCTCGCCATCGCCACTGACAAGAATTGTCAACCCCTGTCTCATTCTCTCTCTCTCTCTCTCTCCTTCCGTCTTTTGTTCAGGTGACCGGGGTCGCCGCGGTGACGCGCCTGCAAACAGAAAAGAAAGTGGGCGGCTATGCGCGGGTCTTGCTTGGACACCTCGACAGAGAAACCGTGAAGCGAAAACGACGACGTCGTCTGAAACGACAGGCTCGGCAATGCAAGAACAAAACGGTGCCTAAACATATGCGCAGCGCGGGAATGTGCGACGGTGGCCATCTTGCATGGCGGCGGCTTCAGCTACCCAGGCGGCCGCCGAAAGGCCGTCCGCGCCGAGCGCCGCCGTCGGAACGGCAAACGAAATTTGCCATGCAGGAGCCGGATTCTGACGCTGGGGGGCTCAACTTCCGTCGCCTGGCGGCGCCCAATAACGACGCGTGCCGGACGTGCGAAGTCCTGCAGGCCCTCCAGACTTTCACATGATATAACCTCTCATGATGATCGTTTTAAACCGAAGCCGCGCGACCGGATTGCTTGAACCACGTGGAAGGCCACTGTCTCGAACTGAATCAAGGAACTGGAAGCACTGGCAGGCAACTACACGCTGTCCGACAGAATCAAATGCGTGAATATTGGCTTCTGATATTCCCCTGCGTCTGCGAAGCCGAAGCCGAAGCGTCTCTCGCGCCAACTGCGCGCGGCGGGTCCCGTCAGATGCTCCATCATGCTGTTGAACTCGCTGGGGGGTTCGGCGCCCCCCCGCTCCCCCCCTCTCGCAGGGGGCAGTACGATCTCTATGCAGCAGCTCGCGCTGGAGAGTTCGCGCACGAGTGCGCGCGCGAGCTGGGGAGGAAGGCCTCGACCAACCCAAGAAACTTGCACATGCTCGTGCCCCATCGCATCGAAGTCCGCGGCGACGTCTGCACTACCGAACACTTGAAGGGGCCCCGCAACAATGCGTGACAGGCATAGTCTGACGCACAATTTCAACGAGACCCCCGCGCCGGTGCCCCAGGCCAAAGCTCCATGTCTCCACGGGCGCGCCGATCAATGAGCTGTGAAGCGGTGGCTGTAGAAATCGAACGTACCACTTGTGACAGCAGCCTATTTTCCATGCGTCTGAAGCCATTCAGGGACGCGGCTGTCATATCTTCAGGGACGCCGCAGCAATCGATCACGCCCAAATTAACTGGGGCCTCCGGGGGGGGCCCCCCGTACCTGAGACGGAAGTGCGCCCAGAACTCAATCGGGAGCAAATGCGGGGCGCCCGCTCAAAACCCCAGACGGCACGCTGCCGCCCCCCGCGGCCATGCCGCTCCTCAGCCAAGCTCGAGCGACAAATGCAGAGAATGGTGACATAGGAGGGGGATGGAGGCCATCCAACTTGCAGCCCCGAGCGGCGACGCGAAAGCGATGAAGGCGCAACTGCCGCTCTTCAGTGTCGTTGGAGGGGTCGCCGAAGTGTTGAAGCCCAAATTGCAATGCTTCTTGCCGCCGCTCCCCCCCATCTGTGCTAGCCTCGCCCCCCGATAGTCAATGTGCGAAGTGTCGGTCGAGATGTAAATACATCGCGCGCGTTTGCTATTTTGCCTTCGTTCCTATGGCGATTTGCTCAGCGTTTCGCCTTGCGCTGTATAGACGCTGCTTCGCGCCTTTCGTCGCTATTTTTGTAGAAGATACTCGCGAGACTTCCCGGCTGGCCCTATGGGCGGGCGTTTGTCAGGTCGCGCGTTCGACTCGGAAACAGAACCTGCGAGCGTCGAAGCCGATGGCGCAAGCGCACAGCTTCAAGCTAGACTGCAATGGACAAAAGTCCGTGCGCTGAATTTGAAAAGCCAATTCTCGGAATCGCTCTGCTTCCAAAGAAGACCGCGGGCACCAGCCGCTTACAGACGGTCGGCATGTGGAAGCGCTGGCAGGCGCAGACTGCGCGTTCAAGGTCCCTTAGAATGGTCTGTGGTCATACTTTGAGAACAATATGTGTTCCATGCTGCGTGCCCGAACATGTCCACATGCCACGTCAAACACTAAACAGACATAAATTTGAAGACGCGTCGCTTTTCGCCATCTAGGCCGATCGGTCTCCGCAGTTGTGTCTCCGCCCTGGCTCTGGAAAGTATTCAATGCTCGAAGTCCCAGGGCTGTCGACCACCACGTGGCGAGCGTCTGACTGGAACTAGGGGTCACAATAGCTATTCCAGATACTCCCTCAATCATAGAGGGCAGAGTGGCGTTAGCGTCGACCCTAAGAACGATGTCAAGGTCAATCCCAGCATGCAAGCACCGCATACAATGCGCATGATTCACTGCTTCCCGAAAAAAAACTGCGTCGGCACCTCCTCCTTCTTCAAGGTGGTCTGAAATATGCGCTGACAGGGACATGCATTGCCCCACACCAAAAGTCACCAAGGGAAATCGTTCCCACGGCCGGCATCTAACGTCCAGAAATGGCGGAGCCGCAACCGCAACTCTCCTTCGCGAGCACGTGTTGTCGTCCATGTTTGCCCCACTTGGCGATTCTTGGGACATCCCAGCGAAGTCGAGCGACCCCGATACAGCTTGGTGGCTCTTCTTACATGTGTTCCAAGCCGCGCTGAAGTCATTCATGGGGAGCCCCTGCCCTGGGTCCTCTGATTTTTGCCAGGGGGCTCCGAACTCAGTGCGCTGAACGATGCGAGAACGAGCGAGCGGGCGAGAGCCTGGCGCCTACGCGTCGCAGTGGCAAACAACAAATCAGAAGCCTTGCAGCTGCAAAACCCACTAATTGCTGAAATCTCCCAGTTGCGGTCGCGCGCGGCGTGCACTTATTGTTGCCGCGGCGAGAAGCCCCTCCATATTCCACTCGATGCCGACTGGGCAACCCTGGGCGATGCTCACCGTGGCCTCTCCGGTGGGCCCCTTGGCGCATGATTCAATCTCGGACGGCCACGTGCAAAACGTTTCTCCTTCGGCCGTCACGGCCCCGGGCCGGGTCTGCAAAAAAGGCTCTCGCCTTGCCACCCAGCGCGGAGCGCTTCCGTTCCTCAGGATCCCCCTGGACTGTCGTATATAAGATATTGGCGCTGAATCGAAGGGACCCTTGCTCGGCGAGCGCCGCCTGGAAAAGGAGCCCAATCTCCACCGCTGCTGGGGGTCACGTGCACTCGGATCTTGTTGCCCCTCGTCCCGAAAACCCCGAGGCCCCCGACCTTGGCCATCAGTGAAGGGGGGGGAGATCAGCTTTCAGCTTGTTCACGAGGTCCTCCGCCTGGGTCTGGTTCATGACATTCGTGCGCCGCTCGGAATACTCGCAAATACCTTTGATCGCCACGAGCGTTGGTATGAACTTTGAGGATGCGCCACCCGGCGGCAGGATCTCTTCCAGCCTCGATTCGATGTTCGTCAAGCGAGTGTCATGGGCGGTGATCGTGGTCTCTAAGCGCTCCACTCTCTGCGTCACTGGCGCCAGCGTCGTACCAAACATCGCTCTCATAGCTTCCATCGTGACTTGCGTCATGCTGACATGTAGGTGGGACCACAAGGGTGTTAGGCAAAGGGTTACGTTCAGGTGATATGTGATCTGATTGCTGCCTGCTTGATGATAATTGAAACATGTCTCCCTCTATGTCTATATATCTCTATCTTTCTCACCCCCTCTTTGTTTGTTTTCTCTCTCTCTCACTCTCTCTCGTTCATCTACCTCGCTTGTCGCGACCTTGCCCCGCTCCTTTTTTGTTGCGCAGACGTGCGAATTTCTGTAACAACGGTGAGGCTTCCATACAACCTATAAATACATAGATCCGGCTCACTGTCTCTCTCTCTCTCTCTTTCTCTCGCCCTGCCCGCCGCACATGATATATTGCGCGTTTGTTGAGTACCTTGGGACCCATGCCTCGTTGCGGTCAAGCTGCTATTCGAACACCATCCTCATGTTCGCCAAACTGCTCAAACCTCAGTGCGTTCTATCCGGCTTCCTATGCAAGCATCCCCCACCGTGCCGCAGGTACTGAAGTGCTCGCATGTCCCTTCGACGTTTCTGCGTTGGCTTCCCGTCATCCGCCATCAAGCCCCCTGGCACGAGTAGGCGTGAAATAATGCCAAATGGTGTGTGGTAGGGTTTCTGCTCTAGGAAGCAGGAAACACGCTTCTCCGGATCCACGTTGGAGCATCTTGAGGCCACGAGGTAGATGCACATGCGGATCAAGGGCCGAGCACTGAAAAGACATGTGGCTGCATGTGCACCCAGCTCTCGCCCAGGACGGGCGCGTCAGATGTGTCCAGCATCCTGGCAAATGTTCTAAGAGGGCCCCCCCTCTCCTCGACACGCCCTGCTGCATGCACCGTCCCTCCCCTCCGAGCTTCCCTGGGCGCCCCGGCTCGCAAGACGGCCCAGCGAACCCCGAGGTGACCCGGCACTGCCTCAACCAGTACCCAGCAGCTTCGAGCCGGACCCCCAGAGGCACCAACATAGGCTCGAAGAGATCTCCAAGGCACCACGGAGAATGCCAATAGGCCCTTCAGCAAGGCGACGCCGACTCAGAACCTTTACGAATCCAATGTTTTCTGCCAGAGTGCTGGGGCCTAACCGTCTTGCACTGTGCTGGGTGCGCAGCTAGAATGGGTGCTTGGTGCATGGCCTTCCAATGTTTTCTATCAGACTACGGGGTGCGTGGCTGGGATGGGTGTAGGGCTTGCATCCTGTGTTCTGCAAACAGAAAATCTAAAGCCTCAGACTGCGTTACTGGCCCCGGGTTTACTACAACAGCGGCTTCCGCCTGATACTTTCTCACAATTTGTTTGAAGAACGGCTCTCACGGGGGACTCACCCACAATTCATCCAGCAATGGCACTCTCGCGTGGGATTCCTCGCAATTGGTTGAAACGCCACGCCCTCCACACTCAGGAATCACGCTCCCGCTCTGGACTTCCTCGCGATTTTCTTTGAAATCGCGCTATCGCTCGAGGCGTCCTCGCGATGCAGGCAAGACAGACGCTTCAGCAACCCGCCCGCTCGACCAGGCCTTCTGTGCCCGCCCGCCCGCCCCACCCATCAGGGTCCGCCCGCCCGACCCGCCCGGCTAGTTCTGCCGCTCGTTCTCCTGCGCATAACCCTCCTCCTGCGAATCTTTCTCTTGCTCCATCCTTCTCCCTGCTCTCATTTCTTCCTTACCTCCTCCCCCTTTCCTCTGTTTCAGGGGCTGCGCCAACCACACGTGGCAGGTAAGGAAGTCATACCCCCAAGGGGGTACGATCGAAGACGGAGAGGGCGGGTATCGAGGGTTCGGGATGCACGTGTTTAACGACATGCGAGCAGATAAGAACGAACAACATTAAAATGACGGTTGAATGTTCCTTTCCAAATAATTTTGTTGGACCGCCCTACAGGCGCTGTGGCGCTCTCGCCTCGGTGCCGGCTGCATTTCCATTGACATTGAGACTCACGCTCGAGCGTTTTGAGGTACTGCCCAAACCAGCCCCGCAACAACAACAACAACAACAACAACAACAACAACAGCAACAACAACAGCAATAACACCACCAACAACAACATCACCAACTACAACAACCACAACAATAGCAGCAACAACAACAACAACAACAACAACAACAACAACACTAACAACAGCACTAACTGCAACAACCACAACGCCAACAGCAACAACAGCAACAACAGCAACAACATGAACAACACAGCAACAACAACAACAACGCTAACAATAACAACAACACCAACAACATTACCACCAACACCACCACCACCACAACAACAAAAGGCTCCCGCGCAATAGTTCGTCACAATCTACTCCGAGAGGCCCTGGCCAGAGAGGGCCCGAACCTTTTGGGAGGGCGCTGTCGCCAGAGCCTGCCTGGCAGTCTGGCGCCACCAAAGGGTCCTTCAGCGCAATCTTTCCGATGCTTGCGGATGCCAGCACGGCCGTTCCGCTTGAGACTTCATCGCAATTTGGCACTACACGGGGTTCCTTCAGAACCAGGTCGCTGCTACTCGCGGATGCCGGAACTGCCTTTTCGCATTTCGGCACCACGCGGGGGTCCTTCAGAGCATCCTTGCTGCTACTCGTGGACGCCAGAAGGGCCGTTTCGCTTGAGAACTCCTTTCAATTCAGCAGCACAAAGGGGGATCCGTCCGAGCAGCCTTGCCGCTACTTGCTCAGGCCGCAAGAGGCCCAAAAAGGCCCCAGGAGACACTCTGCATCGGGATCTGTGTCCGGGAAGTGCTTCTCCGCCTCCCCGCCTCCCGGGAGGCCCAAGGAGACGCTTTTCTGCACTTGGGATCAGTGTTCGGGGAGCGCTCTTCGGCCCTTCCCGCCCCAAGGCGGCCCCTGGAAGCGCTCTTCTGTGTTTGGATGTGTGTTCGTGCAGCGCTTTTCGGTCCCCCTGCGCTGCCAGGAGACCCCAGGAAGGTGTTTTGGCATAGGGATAGAAGTTCGGGGAGCGCGTTTCGGCAACCCGCAGGCTTCGCCCCCATGAGCTTCGCCCCTTTCCCGGGGGCCCGAACCCTCTGTGTGTTTACGTATGCTCATGTAGATGGCCCTTCTCCTGGAGCTCGGATCCTAACTGTTTCACGTATGTTCCTATATCGTGCTCCTCGACTGGGGCTCAAACCCGTTTTTGGTGTGTCTACGGATGTTCTGCTATATTGGCCCTCGACTGGGGCTCGAATCATCGGTGTTGTGCCAGTTGTTCTACATATTGACCCTCTCCTGGGGTTCGAACCTCTCCTGTTTGGGATCCTCACCGCTCCCCAAAGTCGCACTGGTGTTTTCATCTGTCGTGCAAGCTGAAAGTGGTAAAATGCCTCGGGAGAGGTGTTAGCTCGACCACCTTGGGCGGGAAATCTGGGTGTGGGAATATCTGACCCCTTTTCATAAGAGTTCTCCCAGGACAGGGGTGGCATGTGGCATCATGATGGATGCATGTGGCACGCAAACGCATGGCGCATGAAGGCTAGATGATTGCTCCTGTTATTGAGCTCTCTTCCCCACTGAACAATCATTGCTCATCCCCCCTCCCGGTGCACATTGCGTTTTTCTTATGATGTGCTCCTCTCGGGGCTAGCACCATGTTCATGACACGGGAAGAGCTTGAAACTTATTGCCAGCGCGTCGATACCCGATGCAGTGTAAACATTACGGCTCTATCTACGACGAGCTGCCCTGAAGGATGCGTGGACCACTGCAGGCAACAATAATTTCGCGCTCAATCCTGAAGGGGGCCAGGGGAACAATGCCGTCACATCAGCAGCAACAGCAAACAGCAAACACCAAAGAGAGCATCATGGCACATCGCAAGCCGCGAGTGCGGGAGCGGGCAGTGTGTTGCAAATCGTGCGAGGAGGTCGGGGAGATGGAACGCGCGCGGATGCAAGCCGGCTCAGCAGTCCGCCTTACCAACACAACAACTCATCACCCGTATCTCTTTCTCTCTCTCTCTCGTTCCCTCCCCCTGTCCCTCTCCCTCTCTCTCTCCCTCCCTCTCTCTCCCTCTCGCTCTTCCTCTACGATTCCTCTTTGTTTTTCCTTCTGGTCTTCCACACTGCACTCCATATTTTCGTCTGCATCGCCCCATCGTGCCGCGCAGAAACAGGGCGCAATGAATGTGAGGAGGGCTGAGGCTGAATGAATGGCTACGGATGCCTGACATATCGTCCGTCCGTGAAGCCATGACCATGTAGTGATCAGCTGCTCTGAAGTATACGCAAACACTGCATGAGCATGTACTCTCGAATACCCATACGGATGTTTTGATTCGGCGCTGGACCCCGCGGCCGCGCCTCCAGCGCCAACCCTGGTGCGCTGCGCGCCCCAGGGAGGGCGGTCCAGCGCCGATCCAGAAAGTCCTGGCGGTCTCCGAAAGGTTGCTGTTCATGCAGCTTCTTTATCGATCTTCAGCGGACGCAGCATCGTGTGCCAACGGGAGCTATGATCGACACAGTGTTTCTTTTGCGCGCGCAGCCTCAAAATATGAATGCACAAATTGAGGGCGGACACCATGTTGGCCTCTCCGCACAGGGCGTAAATCTGTTCGATAACTCGGCCTGGGGTGCATCAAGGAATGCCATGCGCACGATCGAAGAATTTGAAACAGTTGCTTTCAAACGGGGATGCCCATTCGGTCTACGCAGCCGACTGCTGTGCAGAAACAGCACATTCTAGAGGAATGCTTGCGATGCAAGGAGGCTCGACATGCAGCAGACCACGAGACCCGTAGATGATACTGATATGAATGGATGCAAGGCAACAGGCACGCCGATGATCGATTTGCCCGAAAACGTGCAGGGTGATGCTGAGGGGCCGTTACGAGTCGAGAGCGGCCAGTCGCAGCTACCCGAGCATTGACGGGAGCAGGGACAACGATTGGAAGGGCAGCGAGAGAGAACATCGTGTGGGTGCCAGCCTCTCTGGAGCACCCCTTCGGGGGGTCTCCCACATGATGAGGCTGGAGTCAATGAGGTCGGAGGATCGCACTGCATCGCTGATGCATTGCCGACGTCGGGAT